AAAGATAATTGAAGTAAGCCCTCTCAGCACAAGCTACACTTTTCAGCATGTTTGGACATATTTCCACAGAAAATGATTTCAGTTGCATTAAAAGATGTCTGGCTTATCTTCACTTGGAGTTTTTGTGGTTTCCAAATTATCGTCACTTAGTCCTTGTTAATCAGTACATAATAATAATAATAATAATAATAATAATAATAATAATAATAATGTGTCATCTGTACGCCGTAACGGCGCTTCATTGTCTTCCGACCACCACCAGTCCAGTTGAGTATACCGCGAGAACGCTCACTCCTACGCGGACTCGAATCCTCGCCGCAAGATTACGAGACAAGCTCGTTACCCCTAGACTATGGGCCTGTCCATCTATAGGATCAGATGTTCATTCATTGTTCCCGTAGGGGAGTACCGCAGTCAGTATCTCTTGGAAACTGCATCAATCGATTAAACATTGATTGACCAGCAAATACCAGCCCGCGTCAAAGGAATCGAACTATTCGGTCAGTAAGATGGTATGATAAACCCGTGGAGTGGAACTCACTCACATCGGTTGAAAAGCAGACGCAGTGTAGTGAGTGACATGGACCTCCTAATTAGCATGTTTCGGTTACCAATAAATAGTTAACCTATCCTGTATATAGATATACTCTCTGTCTACCTAGTTCCTGCCTTTTGTATTCCTTCGGTTGGCTGGGCGCCTGACTGAGCAGCCAGATAGCCGCAGTCTCACATTGCAGCTAGCAGCAGTACAACAGTTGTCAGTCGCAGAGAGCAGAGGGAAAGAAGCAACGTTACAACATGATTGTTCATTCATTCCGTTTTAGAAGGTAGGGTCACAATATCCAATCGTCTTCTTGGCAAATTCCCTCTCAAAATAGTTGCCGGGAGCGTTCCATCTGTCTTCATGTCCTTTACGACAGTAAACTTTCTTGCTCCTTCGTTTCCATTCCTTTCCACCAACTTTCTTGTTGACCGGAATGAGCCCACGGCTTACTCCATTACTAACAGACCACAACCGTTATCGCATTCAAGCCCAAAAGCATCATCGACGTCAGTACATCAGCCATTTGGACTTGTGGAACGAGTAATCATATGAGAGAATGGGGACTTACCGGAAAACCTTAATGTCCTAAGCAAACTACCAGTATCAAGGCGCCTACACTTCGTCTACAACATACCCTCACAAACAGCTGGATGTCGTTTAAAGATGAGGCGACATCGATGAGACAGCTTCCTTGCGGCTTTCACTCCTCCGCGTCATAATCAGCCATTGCCCAGCAGATAACTCAGCACCAACCACACTGTAAACAGACAGTCCGACTACGAGACGAAATCAGACGCGCTAGTGGTGCCTACCGTGGGCCATGTCCTGTAAATTCTCGAGCCAAGCACATTGTGGTGCACATGGACTCCAGTCTGGAAGGCGAGACGGACCGACGGCGCCGAGTTGAGTCTTTAGTGACTTCATATCCTGCTACCATGTTAATTTTGCCCACGTATGGCCTCGTGCCCTCCTCGGTAAGCCGTGACTGGGCATATGTAGTACGTGCCCAAACCAACGCAACTTGTTCCGTGCTATCTGTTGCTCTAAGGAACTAGTTTGGTTATCATTGCCTGGTACGCGCCTACGGATATCATCGTGACATCACGCTGATGCCATCGGGCATCAGCAGTTCTCCGCAGATAGTGATGGTCAAACACTTGTAGGGACCTTAATTCTTCAGATCGAAGAATTCAACTTTAGCTGTCTTATAGTAGGACGACTCCAAATGTCTGAGGCAACGATGCAGTTGTTGTAGAGCTTAGCAGATCTGGTGGCGTACTCCTTGCTTTTGGAAGAAACCGACTTACCTGTGTTGGACTTGGATCAAGTCACTGTACATGAAATCCACAGTTTGATGATTATTTTTTCTATTGCATAATGGCTATGACGGGAGTTGAGGAAACTTATGGCTACACAACAACGGTTTACCGATAGCGACGCGCGAACACTATATTGAACAATGGAACAATGGTTTATTACGGGTAAAAAAGCATCGCTTAACAAGTCCCGTGGGATGGAAATTATTGCGAAAATCAATTGCATGATATAGTGAAAAGCGTTGTGGTGGACTCACCATAGACTTATGTGGAATAGCGTAGATGTTCGCGTATTAAACGTATAAATCCATACATCCATTGGTTAGGCGTTTGGCAAGAAACCGTTTGATTGCGTTTTGTAGCCCCTGGCTAACAAGTCATAAAATGAAATGTAAGTGAGACAATGCTTCGTCAACACGTTTTTTAAATATCGCCAGATTGGGAGCAGAGACGACATAATTAGGGAGGGCATTCCAAGGCTCACACACGCGGAGAGAAAAGAAATTTCTATGGCATTCAAGCCGGCGATAATGAATTGTCAGTTTCAAAGGGTGACCTCTTAGTTTAGTGTTGGGGTTCAATTCCAGCAGCGGATGGCAAATGTGGTTTGGGTTCTTCAGAATCTGGTAAACCATTATGAGATCCCCCCCGCAAAAGCCGATATCGACTGCTGTACATTCTTAGAGATTTCAGTCTAAGCTGATAGGGAAGATGAAAGAGGCCCCTGACGTTCTTGGTTGCCCGTCGTTGAGGAGTTTCGAGAGCAACGAGATCCTGTTTCTGCCACGTCTGAATAGCATATTCCACGTGCGATCGCACGTAGGCGTTAAGCATTTGGGGAAATATTGATGTTTCAAACCGACCGAAGGCTCTGCGAAGAAGGCCGAAGTGTTGATTTCCGGTTCTCCTCGCCTTCTCTGCTTGTTTTGAACACCCGAGATCTTCCTGTACCAATACACCCAGGTCACGCTCCTGAGAAACCTTCGCCAACGTGTGGTCTCCAATCTTGTAAGCGCTCACCAGCTGGTGACTCAGATACATGACTTTGCACTTAACCATGTTCAATTGAAGCTTGTTCCTCTTTGACCATTCGTAAATGCAATGTAGGTCATGTTGGCGCAGATCGTGATCTGCCTTGTTACTAATCGCCCGCCATATCTTGACGTCATCGGCAAAAAGCAGGAAGTTTGAGGAGATGACTCTTGCCAGGTCGTTGATAAACACCAGGAATAAACGCGGTCCCAGCAATGAGCCTTGTGGGACACCACATTCCACCTCAATTGGGTTAGAAAGTGATCCCTTAACACGTACTTGAAGCTTCCGTTGGTAAAGGAAGTTGCCAATCCAACCAAGTACTGGATCTCCGATTCCGTAACTTTGTAGTCTTTGAAGTAGGATGCGGTGATCAAGGCGGTCGAAAGCTTTGGAGAAGTCCAGGTAGATGACGTCGACTCCGACCCCATCATCGGCCACTTGCGTCCAACTACCTCGTGCAATAAGTAGGTTGGTGGTGCATGACCGGTGTTGACGGAAGCCATGCTGTTCCGGTACCAAAATGTCGCATTTTTCCAGGTAGTTCATTAAACCCTCAGCGACGACTGCTTCCATCACCTTCGCGAGCACAGGGAGGAGAGTCACTGGACGATAGTTTGCGGGATCGGAACGGCTACCGCCTTTAAAAATAGGGGTTATAATGCCACACTTCCACATAGTGGGGACTTGTTGTTCATCAAAACACCTTTGAAAGAACTGTGACAGTGGTTCAGCTAGCTTGGTGGCCGTAGCCTTCAGTGCCTTCGGGCGGATGTTGTCTGCTCCCGGAGAACTATGTTCACACAGTGAGAGTAACTTCCTTAGCACAATTGATGGGTTGAAAATAACATTTGTAAACAAAGGTGTCGGTAATGAGCTTGATATTATGGGACAGGTAGATGTTGCGAGTTCAAAAATTGGGGCGTATTGCAGGCGCAGGGCATTAACTGCTTCTTCGGCGCTTTATACTCTACCGCCTGTCGTGAATAGTGGGAGTATTCCATGCTTCATTTTACGAAGCTTATTGACATGCCTATATAGCAATTTGTTGTTTGTCATTAACTTTTTGGCTAGGCACGGTTGATAAGTTACTTTATCCTCACGGACAAGTGCAGTGCAATGGTTGAGATGGGTCAGGAAATTTCCCCAAGTCTCTGAGTCGGGGTTAATCTTGTAGGCACTCCATGCTGCATCCCTTATCGCCAGGCGTTTGCGAGTCCTACTCCTTATAATTGAAGGCATTTTCGCGGGACGAAGGGGTTAGGTCTCTGATGCTTTGTTGACGATGTCGCTGAGCTTATTAACGAACTCTGCCCAAACGTTGTCAAGGGGACTTTTGTTTGAGAATTCCCAAGCAGCTGCGTCGGCGAGTTCTTTCAATACGTGGTAGCGTGCGATTGTATGAGTTAGTTCCGAGTGTTCAAATGGATACTCTGCATAACATACATAGTCAAAAGTTATTACTACATGATCACTGAGACCTAATGGACTATCCATCAATAACTTGTCAATCATGAGCTCTTCATTTGACTGATGTTACAACTGATGTGGCCAACGATGTTCACCTTAAGCAGAGTGATGCCCCGTTTTTCTCATTCGTAGGTGAAAAGAGGCAATAAAGATGGCTTTGATTGGGGTTACTAGTAAGAATGCTCTGGTGTATCTGAGAGGCGAACAATGTAATTGATCGGACGCGACCTGAACAGATACCAATACTATTGGGTGTACCAGCGGTGTTCGTCCCTTTATATCGCTGCCCCGAATGCATGTTATCGTTCTAACTTGATATCTTTTCTCTTTACAGATTCTAAGTCTCATGGGCTGTGCTTGCTCTTGTACACTTCCTCACATTCGCTATTAACATCAAGTCGTCTATACTAGCAGATATCCTGCGCACTGTTTTTCATCTGTATTCCTCTTGTTAAAGAAATATTTGTGCATTATCGTGTAAACTTTACGGCAGTGGATTCTCAAGTGTACTGATCATCTTTTGGGTATCCGTATACACGCTTTGTTTACACCCCATTCCATCAGGCTGTTCGCTATTTCACATCTATTTTTGCCATAGTGTTAGTCTGTGCTTATTTACCTACTGTTTCTCATTGCAGATCTACGCCCCCATCATTGCGATCGGTGTTATAAATCGTTTTCCGATAAAAGCAGTTTGCGAGAGCATGTCAAAGCTATTCATTTGGGTGAGTACAAAACCAGAAGTGTTTAGTTCTTATTAATTGTGTTGTTGCATCGTTGATCACATCACTTTGCTCAATCATCCACCTCTCACTGGATCCTACATTATCAGTGCGATCGGGATGCGTTCCATGGGGTTCAGTGAGATGCATTGCGTTATGTGTTAACGTGTATGCACTTTTCTGTATTCAATGCTAAGCGGTTTCCCTCGGGCATACCACCAGGCTCAGTCGATTGAACCATTCGTTGCACATGCCAGCGCACTTACTCCTACGTCGTGGTGTGGATGGAAGTAAAAGAGGAGAGGCCCAGCGATAACTGGTTTCAAGTCTCTCACTTCGAACCTTGTGTTTCCCGGCTACCGACTTGGGTTCCGAAGGAAGACGAACACGTTTGCTTGGGTACCCTTGTTAACAAGGGGAGGAGCCGATCCCATTGATGTTTGTTCTGTGTGTTTCTTTGTCCCTTCCATTCACTCTTTTTCTCCTCTTTAGACCATGACTGTGCCCATCCATCGTTAACATTTACTAATGAGACAGAGAACGATGCCTAAGTCTCGTTTTTGTATGTGTTACTGCAACGACAAGCTGATAGGTTGTTAGAGAGGAGGGTCTTCAGAAATGCAACATGTGTAGGTAGATATGCGCATTTCCTTAGTTTTGTTCCAATAAGATGCAAGCAAAACCTTGTACCTTGCCTGTACTATTGCGTCACAAGGATCTGCAACCCAGAAACGTTGGACGCCTAGTAGGTTTTCATTCGTACAACGATTCAAACCAGCGGTTATCCTGATACATTTATCCAAAACATTCGGCCTTTTCGAACCACCCTGAAGCAATAACAACTGTGAAAAAATAACTTTTCCTTTCGGGTCCTTTCAAGGATTATATCGCCTACGAGTTAGTGAACTAATGGTTGTCAGCTGCTATTAACCAAACAGATTCGATTTCTAGAAGACACATTCTTTCCTAGACCGTTCCGCACATCATCAAATGCTTCAAACAGTCCCGACTCGTTCCGAATCTTTTGTTTTAAATCCGTTCACCCGCACCTATGGGGCTATGTACCTCGGGCACACGACCAAGCTTTTAAGAGGATCTCGGAACACAGCTCTGCTTCTTTAAAACACGACACGGTTAAGTACCGTATTTTTCTGACTATAAGACACGCTTAAAATCCTTATATTTGCCTAACAAAGTCGACAGTGCGCCTTGTATTCCGGTGCGCCTTATGTATGAATAATTATTGCTGAGGCCTAGTGACCTCAGATCAATTTTTATGTTCACACTGCGCTGAAAAATCTGCCAAAATGTTTAATTACGACTTTGGTTGTCGAAGCATAATCGCTGGTCATGAACATCATGGAGTCAGATTTCTATGTTGTCTAGACAGACTTGTTTTGGCGGTGGCGAAATCTGTGCAGGAGCCAACTGATTCGAGCTTTTCTGGCGACGATAAATCAATCAATTTTTCAACTATCCACGCTGATATCCCGTACTGTGATATAGGTGATGGTTACTCCACTCGACAAACTCACGGTCCAACAATGCAAGAACAAGATCACCGGAAAGAAGATCCAGCCAGACCACATCACAAACGTGGACCAGGTTCCTCCCATCTTTGACATCCCTGTGAACTATACTGTTGAAAAACAGCGTCTTCTACTGTATCTATACGCACCACAGGGAACGGGAGATGATCCTTCACTGTAGTTCTCGGTTGCCAGGCTAATGGTCAGCAACTACCATCCATGGTCATGTTTAAGAGGAAGACTGCCAAAAAAAAGGTTCCTGTTGGGATCATCGTCAAGGTCAACCTAAAAACTGGATGGAAAAGGAGCAAATGAGCGAGTGGTTGAGCGAAGATTACGTCAGGAGACCAGATGGCTTTTCCTCAAATCTCCTTCCTTATTGATCTACGACTCCATGTGCGCCCATCTCACCGAAACTGTCAAACACCAAGTGAAAAAAACTAATTCGGAACTTGCCATCAATCCGGAAGGATTAACCCCAAGGAACTCCAACCGCTAGACATTGGTGTCAACAGGGCGTTCAAAGTTAAATTGTGAGCCGCGTGGGAACATTGGATGACGCAAGGTGAGCACACATTTACCAGGATAGGGAGACAACGCCGGGCTAGTTACGCCAATATATGTCAATGGATCGTCGAAGCCTGGGCCAAAGTATCGGTCTCAACTGTCGTCCGAGTTATCACGAAGGCCGGAATCATCAATGAAAAGTCAAGCAACAGCAACAAGACTAACTCAGATGATGACGCAGGAGATCCGGGCTTGCTTGCTGCCCTGATGCACTGAAGTGAAGAATTTGACGGATTTGTAGACGAGGAACGGTTGAAAAAGTGAGTGTATCTTTATGTGAGTTACAAGTGAACAATATTGACAATTATCGTTATATGAGTTGAACTAAGTCTGACTATCCGATTATTTTGTTACGCTTTATGCGCCTTATGATCCGGTGCGCCTTATATGAAGTGCTTCAAATGAGGCAAAATCTTAGTGAAGAATTTTTTTCGATAATTCTCATCAGACTCAAACATTACATGATGACGACAAAGTACTAAACGTGCCAGATTGCGCTGTGTATTGACCAGAATGTTTAATTCCAACGGGAACAAATCAATAAACCACGGAATTCTTGAGGGTGGCAAATGATGTACGGGGGAAAATCACAGCAGAAGTTGTAGGCCACAGTAGGAGTAAAGGACGTACAAACTGTTTTTGTACGCTCACTTCTGGCTTGAGGTGGTGGATGTAGATAGCTTCAGCAATAGACAAGAAATGCTTCCGGAATCTGCACGAGAAACGTTCAGAGATAGTATAGAGGACTCTGAAATCGTTTTCCGTCCCTGCGTGACCGCACTCTAGAAGGTGCAACAACATGCTGAAGATCAGCATTCCCCGTGATTAAGTCAAGGTTTCGCGTAAGTATCTGACGTTTAATGCTCAGTATGAAGAGGCTGAGGTTGAATAGAGGTTCTTTAACGAATGCTTACATTCATAACGGTATCCAAAACACTTTTGAAGAGTAATGCGCCGAGGTGGTCTCCATACGAATGTGCGCAATTTTAGACGGCACACGCTCAACTATATAGATAACATTCGCACGAAACTATCGGACCTGGAAAGATTCATCTCACAACGGATGCGTACCGCCGTAGGCCTATCGGAAGAGTTACGACGACCTCTTGAAGCATACGTAGAACAGATTAAAAAGCAAAGGGGTGCACAGAAAAGAAAAATTGCTTAACTCGCTAAATAGCCAAGTGTCGCAGCTGTACTTTCCGAGTGACTCGGAGCGGTAAGTTTTTAGCCTTTCGAGTATCGTGCTTGGCCCAACACAACAAAATCTTTTATCATTTGGCACTAAGTTTTGCATTCCTTGCAAAAAGGCTGATCAAGCTGCATTAGAGGTGCAGTTTGAGAGCTTAGTAACGCGGGCGCGCGACCTGTCACCAAATTCGCCAGGGAACGTTGAGAATATGTTTACCAGCTTAGTAAACACCTGTCATGATTATATTAAGGCTAGATCAGCCAGTAGTGGTATTCTTACAAGTGAACACATGCAGTCACTTAGAGAGTTATGGTTAAACAAAGAGTTAATTGTCTCTAAGCCGGATAAAAGTTCTGGTCTAGTTCTAATGGATAGAACTAATTATGTCAGTAAGATGCAACATGTCCTTAGTAATGAACGTGCATTTAAAAAGCTAACAGTACAGAAGAATATTACAGAGGAGCTAGAAAAACAACTGACCGATTTGCTCCGACGAACGATGAAAGCTAATGCAAAGCTAGTGCAAATTCGAAAAGCTGTGACCTTCAGGCGGACCTCTACCACGATTGTACGGCCTCCCTAAAGTACACAAGAACGGCGCCCCAATGCGTCCCATACTGGACTTGGTTGGCTCTCCGCAACATTTGACAGTTCAACGAATGCTTGAAAATCTGGAACCGCTTCGTAAAACGGTATGCGCTTACTGCATGGAAGACCCTTTCGAGTTCATTGAGAAGATAAGGGGCGTAAAACTTAACACCAAATGAATGTCATCACTTGATGCGCAGTCGTTGTTTACGAATATTCCGTTGTTGGAAACAGTGGATTATGTTTGCGAACTAGTACGGTAACTGAATGTACCAGTAAATCTCCCGGAAAACCTGAAATAATTGTCACTCAGATGCTCCCTAAACGTGCAGTTCACCTTCAACGGAGAGATGTATCGTCCAATTGATGGTTGCCATAGGATCACCATTGGGACCCTTTCTAGCAGATGTCTTTATGGTAAAATTAGGGCACAACGCATTACGAAAGCACATCAACGAAGTCGAGGTGTATATACCTTATGTGGACGACACATTTATACTCTGCAAATCGTAGGAGCAGGCTGTGAAATTGTTGGCGACCTGTAATGTTGCGCATGAGAATCTACAATTCACATGTGAGCACGAGTCTGGAAACCGACTACCCTTCCTAGACGTTGATATCATCAGAAGCAACGATGGATCATGCAGCAGAACAGTGTATAGAAAACCGACTTGTACTGTACAGTACACTGGACAGTACAAACGAAATTTAGTCCGCACTCTTGCCTTCCGGTCACACAGAATTTGCACGTCGGACACAATCACCAAAGAATTGGGGAGGATCAGTGACACTCTAAGAGCGAATGGGTATCCAGCTAAATTCATCCTCAAACATTCGAAAGAGCGCAAGATAAAACCACTAAGGATGAGCGTGTCCAAAAAAGAACTAATTGTGCATTTTCCTTTCAATGAACAATGAATTTATACGGGTTAAGAAGCGTTGCTTTACAAGCCCCGTTGGATAGTTGGTGCGGATATAAACATAATAATTATGATGAAAAGGATAGTAAAATAGTTAACACTTTAAATACGAAAATAAGGACTTATCGTTTGCTTCGCTGCAGTCCTGCGATCCACTTAGATTCACAACACCCACAGTTAACAACAAATAATTCCAGGGTAAACTCCAGGTGTAGGATGGAGACATAGTGTTAAGTAACAAAGTGTAAGTGGATGAGTGCATCGTCCAACCATGTTTTAAATATTGTTAGTGTCGGTGCAGAGACGACCGATTCTGGGAGAGCATTCCACGGGTGACAGACACGGATGGAAAAGAAATTTCTGCGGCACTCCAGACGACTGTGTCGTTCTGCGAGTTTTAATGAGTGGCCCCTCAGGTTTGTATTGCTGCTGAGTTGCAGTAAAGGGCGGCACACATGATGTGGGTCTCGCAGAATCAAGTATGTCATAATCAGGTCGCCTCGTAGCCTGCGATAGCTTCCACTGAACAATCCTAGTCGTCGCAGCCTCTCCTGGTAGGACAGATTACGCATTCCAGTTACGTTCTTAGATGCCCGGCGTTGTGGATGTTCCAGTGCATTAAGGTCGTGTTTCAGCCATGGATGCCAGGCTTGAATTGCGTATTCGACATGGGGGCGAACATACGCACTGAGCATTTGTCGAAATATGGAGCTGTTTATTTGTCCAAACGCCCGCCTCAACAGCCCAACGTGTTGGTTCCCGGTCTTCGAGGCCTTTTCGGATTGCCTGGAGCAACCCAAGTCATCTTGAACCAGGACACCCAAGTCACGTTCGAGAGTTGATTGTTGTAGTACATCCGTTCCGAGTCGGTATGAGTAGCTGTCGTGATGTCGGATGGAAAGCACCTTGCACCTTGCAAAGACGACGGTGCGGTCGATGTCCTGTCCAATCGCCTGAAAGAAGCTGTTGAAAAGATTTGTTTCGCGACTCACCTACACATAGTATTTTACAACAAGCCTTTCTTCGCAAAACCTTTGAAAGACAGGCTGTCTCCGGTGACTCGATGAATGCTTTTTAAATCAACTCGTGCTCCTGTGGTGCACGATACGTGTGTCGTACTACCAGGCGCCTAACTCATAGGATTCGGTAACACATCCCGAGGTGGTGTTACAAAAGCGAAGCTTGGTCTAGTAACAGCTCCATCTTGTCACACCTTCTAGAGTGCGGTCACGCAGGGACGGAAAACGATTTCAGAGTCCTCTATACTATCTCTGAACGTTTCTCGTGCAGGTTCCCGAGGCATCTCCTGTCTATTGCGGAAGATATCTACATCCACCACCCAAGCCAGAAGTGAGCGTACAAAAACAGTTTGTACGTCCTTTACTCCTACTGTGGCCTACAACTTCTGCTGTGATTTTCCCCCGTACACCATTTGCCACTCTCAAGAATTTCGTGGATTATTCATTTGTTCCCGTTGGAATTAAACATTCTGGTCAATACGCAGCCCAATCCGGCACGTTTAGCACTTTGTCGTCATCACGTAATATTTGAGTCTGATGAGAATTATCGAAAAGGATTCTTTACTCAGATTTTGCCTCATTTGAAGCACTTCATATATAAGACGCATAAAGCGAAACAAAATAGTCGAATAGTCAGTAACGATAATTGTCAATCTTGTTCACTTGTAACACACATAAAGATACACTCACTTTTTCGACCGTTCCACTTATACAAATCTGTCTAATATTTCACTTCAGTGCCGGCTTGGTTTTCGGGTACATCGATGGGTACGATACTTGGATCCATTCGCACAATTACTTGTTTGACGATGAGCAAACATGTGACCATTTCAACGTTTATGTGGGTGCGACCGTCGTCCCTGTATCGACATCTGGGTTCAAAAGTGGAACTAGACGCAGTCTTGACTGATGTATGGATTTCCGTTATCATTTTATGACCACCACCGTGCTGGGGTGGAGGATCGTTGCCGTAACATGTTGGTTAAGGTCATTGGCTAAGCTTATTCGAGTGATGGAAGTCTATATCCACTGATAACTTCCCGGACTCCTCAATCCGCTTCTGTGTTCTGCTGTACATGCAAATAAGGGCAAATTCGCTCTAAATTCTTTCATCGTCTTCAACTAATTTCCTCACCGTTGGATTATATTAGTGAATCGCCCTCGGCACTTGGGAAAGAGCGTCGTGTTAATTCAATATCTCGGAATATACTTGGAACCGATTGGGATCTCATGACTTCAGAAAGTTTTGAATACAGATCTGCTTTTGTATGCTTTTGTTATGGAAACGTTTAACTCTTGAAGCAAGCCCTTCTTCAGGTCGTACTAAATCTAATCAGTTATAGCGCCATCATGTCTCTAGTGTTTTTCCTCGTAATATATGCAACCGAGAGTGATCCTCATCACTCGCACTTCTGATTAGCAATAGTTACGTTGAAAGTGGTCTATCCGCGGGTGTGCTTTCACTATGGCTTAGCATGCCCGGTGGCTGCCTTAAAGCTATTCTGTTCACACCCTGACAATAAGACATTCCACTTCAGTTCATGACATATGTCCCTCACTCACTTTGACGACAGTCTGCATTACGTGATGTGTGCTTTGAATGTCATTCCTTCGCGCTGTTCTTCTAACGGAGAGAACGAAAAGCCGCGGTTGCTAATGCGACATTTACGTCCAATTCGCACCTTTCAGAGAAATCAACGGACGAAACCCTGCTTACCCGGTGAACAAGCGTGCTGTCCATGATGGTGAAAATCCCTTGCTTCGCATTTGGCTCACACTAACTCGTGTTCCTTATTTTGTTACAAGTTTGCCTTTCTGTACAGATCTGTTTTTTGCTTGTGAATAAGCCCTTTTGCGATATTCAAATCAATTTGTTGATCAACAGCAGAGTGCCAACCTCTACCGTATGAGTTCCCTCGTCAGAACCCGTCATATTTGTACATTGTTGCATCATGCGCCAATTTAAGGGGATTTCCCACTCTAACATCTGTCAAATTCCGTTGTCTGCGTATTACCGCACAGTCGTTGTGTCTCCCAAATGGGTTTTTGACCTAAGCGGCGGGTTAAAGTATTAGAGAGATTAAGAAACTGGGGACCATAACATATAGGTTTAACCAGCATTTCAAGCAAAGTAATACGGCTATCCATGGCACGGTCCCCAGACCTGCTTACATGCAGCATATTCCATCGAGGGGTTTCACCTGCATTCCAAGCTCCAACTGACTGTGCACCGGTGTGGCAAAATAGAAAATAAGCTATCACCTCTTTGACAAATACTTTTTCATACGGGGAGTTTTTATGCATGCATTATGCTCGATAAAGCCTCAGGCGGCTCCGTCATGCGGACCATTCAAGTATGGCACTTTTTTGACATGTGCCAGCGAGTCAGTGGCTGTATGCTTTGCATAGGTAAATTTTTTTTATCTTAGAAGCAGTAACCCGTCACCTCAGATCAGCCCACTGAAGGATGCATCACATACGTTTGAATAAAACTTGTCTGTCTGTTTAAACAGCTCGCACGATGCGCCTCCACGTTTTGGTAGAGCGACGGGATGGACAGCCTGGCATGTCACGCTGAGTCCACTCAGCGGGCACCTTGTTATGATGATGTTATTACTCCCTCTTCGTTAAGCCACGTTCTGACGATGTACACCTTTCCGAATGAATTGAATCCATAACGGAATCAAGCTCCTCCTTAAGCAAATCATGTTCCTCCAATAAGAATATTCAACTCAATCCACAAGCACATCAAGTTGAATCTAAAGTGGCGCACACGCACAAGTGCGTGCCCATCGTCTTGACCAATTGTAAATCACTGCACCAGTACTCAGAACACCTGCATCGGTTGGTGCAGCGGTTAGATTCTGCGCTCAGTCAACAACACACATGGTGCGCATACGGAGGTCAAGACAACACGTGAGCTCAGCCACTAGGATGCGGTGCGGACTAGCACGCGGCATCCATGGATGGTTGAGGAAGTACTTTAACGACCACCCACTCACTTTTGCGGCATCAACACACACAGAACTATGGAGCCGGAGATATTCCATCCGCGTTCATAGTGCTCACTGTAGCGCGCAGACGACAGTATCGATTGCCTTCACGAAGGTAGCTGCATGCAAGCTAGCAGACATGTCCGTCTACGTGTGATCGGGTGTGGATAATAGTGCCTAGATGAAATAATTAATGCGTGCGGTGCTTCACTACGCGCTATCATGGAACAATCCATTAGTTATCGGTGGGTGTGGCCAAATTACCTTTTAACTGCAGCTGATCGCTCTTAATGATGAGGTTAGCGTCACCATCTGGATGGCAATGCATGATGTAATGCAGTGTGCTTCGCCTAAGGGTACCGCGTTAATTTTGATACCTTTACTGGGTTGGCCATAGCTTGCATTTGCTGGTCTATTGGCAAGCGTTAGTATACTGCAGCGGTTGACCGGGTGAACGAATAAGATTATAAAGAACCGTCATGAGTTCGTGTGAAACGAAAATGAAACGATGATCTATGTTAACTTCAGCGCACTCCTCACCAAGGTGCCAAAATGCGACGTACTGGATATGGTGAAACGCTGTTTGATTGAAGAGATTAACCTGGGGATTGGCCGAAGCATATGGTGGTTGAAACATCTGAGAGTAAGACATTGCACCGTAAATTGTTCTAGCTCGGGTTTCAGTCGGAAGTAGGCAATCAAGAACATGGTGTTATCATTGGATCGTCAATGTCCACTAATTTGTACATAGTACTGGCAAGCTTCAGTAAATGGCCAAAAGGTGTTGATATCAAGTGGATGGCACATTTTGAACATAAAAGTGGATAAGAAAAGCTAGTTTATGATGAATCTGAAATCGCTCACCACGGAGTGGCACATCGCCATTCCTTGACTGCTCTGTTTGCAAGGATGGTTGGCTTCCAAACCGATATTTCGTCAACCGGCGGACACAGATGGGACACAGCACTGCAATTCCGGTCTCTGTTTCACAGAGATAAGGCCATGTGCACAGAGAAGGAAGTTGGGAACGCCGCTTGCAAGTAGACACTAATGTAATTGCTGAATAGTGAACAACCGAAACCGTTAGTGAAACACCCGTCTCACAATATTCAAAAACAACATTGGAAATATACAGCGGAATGGATTGGGACGATAAGAATATTATAGGTAGAGGAAAGTTCCTTTCCGACAGTACTAATCAAGGAATAACATTCGGGATCTGTTCAACAGTAATGTATTTGAAAGACACACTTCTCCTAGGTAAGATGACTAACTGCGTTCACGAATGTATTCGCAATAACTGTGAATGTGTGTGCATAGAACATGCCGCGAGCAAACTGCACACAACACTGCTAGAAAACCTGAGGCGCATGTCACGGCGACTTTTAAGTATAATGCACTACTATGAGAAACAGTGGTGGCGACGCACGTGCTAAGTACAGTGTATGTAAGGTGGCCAGATTATTCGTGAGCCAAAGCGAGACGCTTCCAGATTTCTTGCGCGCTAAACCGGGACATTTAACTAACCCACTCCCGTTTGTTTCTGCATATGCTGACCGTACACCAAATTGAAAACCTCATGACTTTCATTAATGCCAGCAATGGAGATAATCCGGAAGGTAATTTCAGCGTTGAAATGTTATTTATGTTTCGCCTGAAGTGTCCTACATGTCTACAATTTTTCCTTGAAAATCCCTACCCTGAGCTGTGGCCCTTTATACACAGCATCTGTCATTTACCACGCTACTGTACTATTAAGGAACAAAATATTTCAGCACTGGAAGTGTTGTCTGCCATGCACGAACTCTTGCAGAATAGCAGGGCCAAGCGCAGAAGCAGCTTTGCTCCAAACAAGGTCAAGATTCGAAGTGGCCAACTCGATCAAGCGGGTCTTATCAGCAAAACAGTTTCATTAATATTATCACCAGTTTTTACGACAGTTGCGTCGATTATCTACAGGAGAGAATGGACGGATTTCAAAAACTGAGTGGCTTTAATTGGATGGCATTGGACGAACCACCGTGCTGGGAGAAAGTTGAAGCAAACGTCAGCATTTTTGGATTTACCCTCCCAGACCTGGAAATCAAGGACAACGAACTGGTTGACGAAGATAAAAACGTGTGTAGGCTTGCATCAGCGGACAAAATTTCGATTAGAACTGTAAACACATACAGGTTGATGTACGGTGGGTAAAAGTGCTTTCCCATTTCCAGACCAACTCCATCCCATATGAACAATTACAAAAAGTATTTAATTTCTTTTCCATCAACCTGGGACTAATACACCTACTGGATGAATCACTTCACAACTGATCCTTGTATGGACAATGGTTCTGTACGAGTAAAAGAGCTAATGCTTAACAGGTCCCGTAGAATGGTTATGGTGAAAATTCAAAATATAAAAAATCCTTAGCCAACCGTGCTTTGCACAGTGAACTCACTGAAGTATACGTAGTAGTGCATGCGAAACGATGGCAAATTGGATGTTGGTAAAAATCGTGTCTCATGGTGTACAGATGCAGTAGGTGAAAAAGGTGAAACGAAATCTAGGATTTGATCACCAGTGAAAACTATTACAGACACTTGTGTTTATCCATGGGTAATGGGTCATGTAAGCTGATGCAGCAAAATGACTACAAGGTCAACCCTGCATTTGAACTCTGCCAGCGTGGGAGCACATATGACAGATTCCCGCAGGGCATTCCACGTTCTGCAAACTCGTACGGAAAAGCAATTCCGACGGCATTCTAAGCCACTGTGCTACTATACCAGCTTGAGATAGTGGCCTTAAATTGCGCTTAGTGAATGAGCTCTAGCAAATGGCGGCACGTGTGGTTGGGATCTCTCAAAATATGGTAAGTCAAAATGAGGTCTCCACGCAATCGCCGATATTGTCCGCTGAAGACCCCGAGCACTCAAAGCCTTCGTTCATACGGCAAAGTATACAGACCCATTGGCGGTTTTGGTTGCCCGGCGTTGGGGTATCTCCAAGGTGGTGAAATCTCTCCTCAGCCATGGCTTCCAAACCTGTATGGCGTATTCCACATGTGACCGTATGTATGAGCCGAGAAGTTGTGGAAAAATTGAAGGGTCGAATCGTCCGGGTGCACGCTTCTAGAGGCCCACTGTTGTATGCCGTCCTTGAGGCAGTTTCAGTCTGATTCAAAAATCCAAGGTCAACCTGGACAAAAAATCCCAGATCCTTCTCGCCAGAAGACGTTTGAAGCTCCTGGTTGCCAAGTTTGTAGGAATGAACCTAGTTGTGCCGTAGATGCAACACTGCATTGGTCCACATTGAATCGAAATAGCTTCTGGACAACGCAGCTTAGCGTTTAAACACTGGAAGCGATACTTATGGTGAAATGCAGTGCTGAGGACAAGGTCGCCGGGTATTCGCACGAACGACTTCGCGACATGCTGATGCAGCGTCCAAATCTACTACGAAAAATACATTCATCTGGCTAGGTGAACAACCTCTTCGTGGTGTCAGCTGGTTGGCACGGATTTACTCACTTCCATTAAATAGTTCGACGGCAGGGTTTCAGGACATGGTAAACAAGGACATAGCATGAACAAGTAAAACAGCACTATTTGAACATGCCAACGGACCATGTCGAGATGTGAATGTTTTTAGATGCGGAAGCTTCCTAAGTACAAAGGCTGATCGTAAAGATGAATGTTTCGTGATCGCGGAGATTGACCAGAAACTAATTTTTCTTAGGTGCATAGGTTGACCGAAAAATGATTTTTTCACAAGTGCAGAGGTTGGTCAAACATGTGCACTGGTCTAAAGCGGGTCTCAGCGACTTAGGTAGTTTCAGCTTGCAATCTTATGGGACTTTGGGTCCACTCACGCTTGACGTTAAGCACATCCGATGACGTGGGCCGTGCAGATGGCAAAGCACCAGACAGAATTCACTGGACTCACGGGAATTTCTGTTTTGCATTGCCCTCGTGTGATGCGATCTACGACCGGTTCCGTGTCGGTTAACACTGGAATGTCCGGAGCGCATTTTTAATGACAGCGATGTTATAT